TTTTTTGGGTAAATAAACTGATTTAAGTTATTGTTGTCTTCATTAGTTGGATAGCACCACGGTATCCCAACTGTGTTATACTAATAAAGTCAAAGAAATGAAAATAAACATGAAAATATTTAGTGTGAGGCACGGATATATTGGTCTTTTTAAAGAGATTCAAGTCCAAAATTGTTAATGTTAGTCCAAAATTGATGCAATTGACATTTTCATTGTACTTGTCTCCTCTAAAGTACAACTGATTGACAATTTCGTTGTATGAAATTGTAACCAACTTTGTAAAGATGGTCAAGTCTAAAGCTCCACACAAAAAAAAAAAAAAACCTTCTTTAGCCTAAACACCTAAGTGTGCGTACTATGTTGTCAAATATTGCAATGTCTTGGATGGTATTCAGAAAAAAAAAAAATTCAATTGGACATTTTAGGCTCTGTTTGGTAACGTTTTCGTTTTTTCGTTTTTATTTTGATATTTAGAGAAAATAAGAAAAAAAAAATCGTTTAGTAAACGATTTTTTTTTATTTCTGCCACAATTTTATAAACGAGGGCTGATTTTCAAAAACAAAAAAAAAGACGTTTTTGATTTTCGTTTTTGAGAAAAGAAAAACAAAAACGTTACCAAACGGGACCTTAGAGATCCAATTTATATGTTTTCAGAATCTTTTAGAATTCATATATCTAACTCATGCAAGTATACATAATTTACATGTATATGACTACATATGTATGTAATAATAATAAATTCATGAACACGAGTCATTTATGATGTACATGCATAAATTTTTGTATATAATTTGTAAATGTATCTAATATATATACACACACTATATATTGTATATAATGATAAATGTTAATGTATGTACATTATAGATTCATCTCATAAATACAGTTCATATATAAGAATTATGAATACGTGTATCCAATCATATTCATGAACAAATATGATATATGTACCTAATGATTCATATTTAAAATGTCCACTAGTTAATTTATTTGGTACACTAAATTATATATTAATATTAAAAAGTACCAAAAAATATTATTATCATCTTGATTTAGTTAGGACTGTTCTAGGCATATCATATTCTGATTAGTAAAAAGCATGAGATATATAGAAATAAAAAATAATTATTTAGCATCATAATTAGGCCTTTACTAATGGGTCATGTGCAACGATAGAATCAAAGACATATTGTAAACAGAGCAAGGGAAGACAAATATATATAATATCTTTTTTTTTTTTTGTTCAACGGTCAAAGATTTAAAAGTCAACTTACACACAAAGATTTTTGAATAAATATTGAATATAACCTAAATATCATGTAAGTGTTATTCCAAGACATCAGCAATTAATAATAAAAGTATTAAATGAATAAGGTGAATATTTATTTACTTACATGGATGGATAGCTATTTGTTTATGCAGGGTTTGTTTCATTACTTGTTTACATATTATTGTTTCGTGGTACCACATGACAATATTGACGCAACATCATCATTGTATCGGATATGTTCTCCTTGTTTTCGTAATGTACTGAAGAGTCATTTTCGTGTATTATTTAGTTTTATTGGTAAGTTGATATTTTGCGCATTATTTTCTTTTACTGGTAAATTGATATTTTGCAGAGTTAGTTATTAATTTACACATTAATCAAATCAATGAGAATAATTAGAATCAGTTAAGTGGACTTACTTGTTAAGTTCTGCAATGTGGTGACAGTGGAAACTTGATGGCACTTCTTGGTAACACCACCATGTTAGTATATTTGGATGAAAGAAATATACTTTTAAGGGGATGAAAAAGAAGTGATCATTATCGTAGAGAATTGACCCTAGCTCATATGTCTAATAACTTTGTGTTATGTTGGTGTGATTAGGATCAAATGGTCGACATCCAACTTGACCCTTTGTTGGACATCTTCTCGACCTTTTTATGCGGATATTCCCCTCATGAACACACAAAATCTTTTATCTCTTTTTTTTGAAAACTATGCCTAGAGTTGGCAATTTTAACTTATTACTTATTAATTCGTCCATAAATTAATGGATTGAGTACCTATATTAATTAATATAGGTTTTAAATGGATTGGGTACTATCATTCATTTTAATTATGTGAGTTAATATGGATTACAAATGGGTACTTATTCGGTTGAGTATTGATCTTTTTATTAAATAACACAAGTAATAAAATTAAATAAATATACTAATATATCAAAAAATACACACACTATTACGCCAAAAAATATACACATATACACCAATACACCAAAACATACACATATTAGTACACCAAAAATACACACTAATATACCACCCATGACCCACGAGTCAACCCATGACCCACATGTTGACCCACCACCCATGACCTGTGTGAGTTGACTCATACCTATGGGTTGACCCATAACTCATAACTCACAATCACCCTGATCCATTATCTGTGTATTTTTTTATTAAATACATTTTAGTTTTTGTGTTAGTATATGTGTGTGTATTTTAGTGTATATATTTTTAGTGTTTTAGTAAATTAGTGTGTGTGTATGTTTGTATTTTGGTGTACTACTAATATGTGTGTGTGTGTGTGTGTTTTGATGTACTAATGTGTTTATTAAGAATTTTAATTATTTTATGGGTTAATTTGTTTAACTCAACCTGTTATAAATCTAACCCATTATAACTCATTTACTACATGAGCGAAAAATGAATTAGATTTATTTGAACCTAATTTAATTTAACCTAACTTATAACCAACCTAACCCACCCATTTGCCACTCTAATATGACTCACTCCCTTAGACTGTTCGGTGCTTCTATCTACTCTTATTCTTACTTTAATGAATCCTCAAACTCTAGTCGGACTCCAATGAATTGCCTAGTTCTGATAAATCTCTTAAAAGTTTGCTTCATTTGACTATATTCTAATGATAAATCCTAATCAACTTGTGGTCGATGAACCCCCAAATTCATCCCCCAACAAATTATGTATTTATTTTTTATTTTTTTGTATTTTATATTTATTGTCCATTATCTTAGACATGTTACGTAACAAAAAATTGATGAGTTTTTTCCCCATTCGATAACAGTACTTTGCTAGTGAGTCATGATATTTCTCGTACTCTGTGCAATAGTGAAAAGTGGAGGCTAGATTTTTTTAATAAAATAATCCTAATTATTTCATTGGACAAGTGAAACTCCAATTATTTATATGTATGACGATAATTCTAGTTTCTCTCCCTGCAGCTCATTACAAATATTGAATATAAAAGAAACAGTAAAATAATTACATTTATGCTTTGGGTAGCCAGCAAAAATCACTTACGTAGCACATCCCCCCCCCCCCCCCCCCCACCGGTTCTCTTTTTTTTTTTTTTACAGGACTATGGAGTTAAATTGTTTTTGTATCGTACACAATACCTAGTTGATGTTGTCAACGAAAAGGTGGGTCGGGTTTTGAAACTTGACTCGATCCAAAATGGCAATGCCTGGAGAGGAATGGACATGCTGATTTTCAACACGTGGCATTGGTGGACCCACAATGGAAGAAGCAAACCGTAAGATTTTTTTATTGTTCAGTACTGAATTCTCTCAAATTTTTATTATTTATATTATCTGTCAAAATATACAATAAATTTTATTTTATTCACGTAATTCTCTTAATAATATTTGAGGGATCATGTCGAATTAAGAAAATTGCCGGAATCTAATTACAGAATGAGTCTCGATTTATTTTTTTTATGGGCTATAATTTAAAAATAATTTTATGACGGAGGCATAATTCAATGAACTATATTGCAGATGGGATTACATGCAAGAAGGGGCCACATTGCATAAAGATATGAACCGCTTGATTGCTTACTATAAAGGGTTGACTACGTGGGCCAGATGGGTTAACATAAACGTTGATCCTTCCAAAACCAAAGTCTTCTTCCAAGGAATTTCTCCCACTCATTACGAGTAAGCAAATTCCCCTTTCCATCATTCTATTAATATAGTGTGTCTTCAAAGTAATATGTGGTCCAAACCCTATGACTCGCTTAAAAATGAAATTCTACACGTTACACTCACTATGGTTCTGTAGACGACTACAAAATGAAACCAAAAAAAAAAAAGATGTCAAGTAATTGTGTTCCAGAATTGGACATGTTGATTTTCATACGCGAATCCTCTACCCATACATCAAAAAATGAAAATATAAGTATTATGAGCGTGTTGATGAGAGGTGTACTTACTTAATGATAGTTTGTTTCACCAGAGGCGGGGACTGGAATGAACCATCAAAATCATGCACTAGAGAGAGACAACCATTCTTCGGTTCAAGGTACCCCGCAGGCACACCTTTGGCTGCCATTGTCGTCAACAAAGTGTTGAGCAGGATCAAAAAGCCAGTGTATTTACTCGACATAACAACGCTCTCACAATATCGAAAGGATGCACACCCCACTTATTACAGTGGTGATCATCCCGGCTTGGACTGCAGCCACTGGTGTCTCCCCGGATTACCCGATACTTGGAACCAGCTCCTCTATGCAGCTCTCATTAGTTGATGAACGCTATTCTAATTTGTTCGTTCGAAAGAAAAAATCATTGTTTCGATGATACAAATTGTATTCCATTTTCTCATATGTAGGTAGCAATAAGGGCGTTGCTTCAATTGTAATGTAACTGATTATTTTGCCCAAAGTTACCTGGATTCAGAAACAAATATTGTAAAAGTGTCGGACGTTATACCGGTATATCATTATTAATAGTCAAATTTGAAGTGTTTAGCATGAATTAATTTTGAATTTGCTAGATTCATTTTTATTGGGTCGGATTTTTTATTTTTTTATTCTTTTTTGTGGGTGAAGGGAGGGGGTCGATCGTAAGAGAAGAAGTGGTTCTTGCGAATTGCCTATGTGCCTAGATAAACCCCTTGAACCTGAGATCATTTCTTTCATGTATAAGAAACAAGTGGAACATCGAGTGATAATTTCTGATCAAAAAAACAAAACATCGAGTGACAAACTTAAAATTAATAAAACTTAACGATTAAATACGTAACCATTGAGAGTTTGAAGTTCGACTCTGAAAAGATTTAATCCAGAAATGCTAGTAGATTGAAATGTCCCTCCTCATGTAATAGCTTGACAAAAAATTTTATTGGGAACTTGAGTGGAACTAATATGAGTTTGATAGTGATATACTAAAAAGATAAGCAATATTAGAAAAATATTTGTTCCCATGCTGAGATATGATCACTTTGACTAAGGCGGGCTGATCTGATGACAGATGGCAACGCCCACTGATCTACCTTCGGGTAGGCCAAATCACAGGTGTACGCACCCGAATAGATGTAGACGCTGAATCACTCACTAGACTCTCCACAAGCCCAACACGTTGCATTAGTATTATGCACCACATGTTCAACCTCAACCTACTTGGATAAACTCAAACCGTCCCAGTCTCGGACACAGGTGTTTAAATCCTTCTTCCTCATCTACAAGAGCCTGGTAAAGACGGAAGTTCAGTAATGCTTGGACAAGAAGGAGGAGAGTCTGGTAAAGAAAGAACTACAGAGATGAATGAAAGAGAAGGTGCTAAGGAGGAGAGAGAAGGGCTTTCTTTGGACGAAATCTCAAAGTACAGAGCGACTGCTCAGCAGAATTCCATGGAAGCCATTAGGGCTGCGGAAGAGAAGTACGCAAAGAATAAAGAATCAAGCGAGTCGGCGTTGCGAAACGAAAAGGAATCTGAAGGTCGTAGCCTTGGTGCTGGAACCGGTCGTGGTGCCGAGAAGGTTGCCCATGCAAAAGACTAATAGGTTTTAAACGTGTTTCGGTACATTTCAATGTAATGAGATGTGAATAAGAATAACGGGAATTTTTGGGAAATACTTTTTATCTCAAATGAATAAGAACCTTGAATGAGTGGTTCTATTGAAAAATGACCCAAATATTTCTACTGATTTGGTATGGTATTCAATTTAGGATCCTTCTTAATTTCTTGTGGACTTGTCTGATTGCCAAGTCCATCTGGGATTGGAAAAGGAACAGATTGTTGTAAAAATCTTGGGTACAGCTCTTCCAGGGGAGAAAATATTCATTGCAATGCCACATTATGTCATCACCGTATATGGCATGATCATCCAGTTAAAAGACAAGAAATAGGTAAAATAGATTTCACTAATTTTGTGTTACCGATGGATCCGGTTACTGATAGTTAAGAAAATATCTGGACGACACCATATACCGTGATGATGTGATGTCACCGTTTCATTGAATATTGACTCCTTCCGGTGGTGCTGCTTTCTTAAATGGTGAAACGTTAGTGGTTCTGTTTAGGGGAACAGCACCCTGCAGCACTGTAGAGGATCCTCGCCCAAAAATCTTTATGAATAGCAATATGAATTGGCTGTGTAAGGCAAAAATCCGTATCTGAAAAAATGGATATTGAAACATAATATTTGAGCACTCAGAGTCTCTCCTCCTTACAAAACGAACAGGCAGTCAAAACAGTGAAACTGAAGGAAGACACTTTGATCTTTGAATCAACACGAAACTGAATAAATTAACAGTTAATTCACCGGAAAAAGAGAGTGTATCTTAATCTTATATTAAGCCTGTTCAGATGGGTTTTATTGCTACGCAGTTTTATGCTGGAATAGAGTGAAAATGAAAATGGATAAAATTGTATTACTATTTCCATGTTTAGTAATTATTTGGGATATTAAATAATTTTTATTGAAATGGAATAAAAATTGAATTTTTTTTAATAGTCTGGAATGAAATCTAACAATAATCATATTTTTAACATCTCCCATATAATAAGTACACCTATTAGTTTTAACCTGAAAAACAAGATAAAATTCAAAATTCCTACACTCATATTTTAGTTCGTTGGCAAAAATAACAAACAAAACATGAGAGAAAAAAAATTTCACTAATATTTTTTGAAGAAAAGGTGACTTAAAATTTTCTACGTAAACGCCTAATTTTAATCGAAGAAATATTTTCTCAAGAAAGGAAATATTTTTCTTTCGAAGTTAGATTTTAATTTATTAAATTACCTACAAATTCAATGGAATTTAAAATACATACAATCATAAAATATCAAAATACCTAAAAAAACAATCATAATTTGATTCCAACTCCAAACTTTAATAAATAGAAATTGACATATAAATAAAATTTTTACATATCAAATCAACATAAATTATTCAGTTTAATAAAGCCCATTGTGCATCACTTGCTTTGTCACTTATAGCCATTCAATTTAACTTATTGTTGCCATCCAATTTAGAAGAACTGCTTCGGTCTATCCTAGATCACGTAGAGCAGGAGCGGGAGTGAGAGCGAAAGTGATAAAATTCACAAAAATCTAAGAGCATAAGTGCTTTGAGAGCGTAATATTTTATATATACATGTATGCATACAAACAAAAAAAACTATATTTGAAAGTTCAATTTTAGGCACAACATAAATATGTGACAGATTCCATATTTTTTCCAAATTCACGAGTTCTCAAAAGTGTCATTTCATCTATCTTTAATCATTGTTAATAATGGAGCGATAAGTGATTGACGATGGGGCCAGGGTTTGGGAGGCTGGTAAACAAGGGGGGAGAATTCCATGGAATTAGATGGAGTGATCCTTAGTGGGAATCAAACAGGTTATGCTGTTTTAAGAAAGAGAGTAACCTGTTTTGTTTGTGTTTGTTAGAGAGAGAGAGCGCAGGGGAGAGGGGGGGGGGGGGGGGGGGGAACTCGATGTCACAAAATCAGGGATAAATCGCTCGAGGGAGAAACTCGAGATAGGTGCAAAATTCTTTATGCTGCCCTTCAATAAGAAATAAAAGTCCATTATTCAGCACACACTAATTCCTACTGTCGGTTGAATAGCCTTCATATGTGAGATTCAAAACCTGATTAATGCGCCTTAAAAGCCTTCTTGTCGAGCCTTGTTAAGTTTCACAATTATAGGGGGATAATGTATGGTACCACTCCCAAAGCGGGCTTTAGCGTTTGCTCGCCAAAGCATGAACTGATCTAGCTATAATTCCAACTACAGCAATGGAAACAAAGTAAGAAAATTCACCCAACATTGGACCAAGATACTACACCTTAAACACTTGGTTTTTCTTTAACCAAACCGGGGAGAGAATTAGTTGAGGTATGTATAAGATAGTTCGCACACCCTCAACCGTTGAACAAAAAACAAAAAAAAGACTTGGTTCTTGTTTTATACCCTTCAACCTTATGCGAAATTTGGCTCTGACTTTCCCTGCCCCTCCCTTTCGAATGATTTAATTTAATTTATCATTTCACTCTATCTATACCCAACCATGAACCTTTGTTCCAGGTGTCCATACCTTGGGACTTTGTGTTCATAATGATGTCATGTTACCTTAAGTGATATGGAGGAAGAAATCTTGATTGCACCTTTGTGTACTCAATGCTCGTGGTAAAACTTCAAATTGTTGCACAAAATCAAATGAGTCTGATGGCTTTATTGATCATTATAAAGCCCGTTTTGTTGCTATTGGTTTCCATCAACAAGAAGTTGTGGACTATACTGAGACATTTATCCTGTTTGGGAAGCATACTACTGTACAGACTATTTTGTCTCTTGCCGTACATAAAAAATGGTCCATTCGCCAATTCGGAGTGAAAAAGCTTTTTCTTCATAGTCATCTTACCGAATAAGTATATATGCATCAGCAAAAAGGTTATGTTAATCCAACATTTTTGGATCATGTGTTTCAACTCCATCAACTTCTATTTCTGGTTCAAAATAGGCTTTGATGCTTGGTTCAAGCTTGTTTCAAATTATCTTGAGGATTTTGGTTTCGTTGAGTTGAAGGCTTTTCATTTGTCTTACTCATTTATGTTGATGACATACTCATCACCGGTAATAGTGAGAGTTATTTCTCACAACTTGTTCAGACTCTCCGGAAACAATTCTCTATGAAAGATCTTGGTCCACTTAATTATTTTGTTGGGTCTTGAAGTCTGTGTTATGTATTCCGGGTTATACCTTAAGATAAGTATGTTGTTGATCTTCTGTGCAGAACAAAAATGCATGCGGTGAAACCAATTTTGTGCCCAACCCCCAGTGGTAAAATTGGCAGCTACTGATGCAGAGAATCTACATAAAGAAACTGAGTATCGTCATTTGGTTGGTGTTCTTCAATACTTATCCGTCACTAGCCTTGATTTGGCCTATTCTGTTAAACAAGCGTGCCAAAGCCAATTTATATACAAACCGAGCATTGTTCACTGGATAGTCGTGAAACGTATTTTACATTATCTTAAAGGTACATTTAATCATGGTCTTTTGTTTCAACTTGGCTCCCTATAGCTACAAGCTTACTTAGATGCCGGAATCAAGATGATCGTCACTCCACCGGGGGATATTGTGTTTTTCTTGGCCATAATCTTATTTCTTGGAATGCGAAAAAGAAACCCACAGAATATTGTCAATTAGCTCACACCCCTGCCAAAAATTTCTTGGTTACCTTCCTTATTCATATATCTTCGCATCTTCTCTCTACTCTTTTCATTTGGTGTGACAAAAGCTCTATTTCCCTTGCTTCCACTGCCATATTTTATACTCCAATTAAACACTTTGATGTGGATTGCCACTATATATGTTTATGATAAGGTTGTTTGGAATGAATTCGATGTTCAATACTGCACAAGTGTTTTCCTACAATAATTTGAGATAGCTTGTCTCAGAGTGAGATGGATGAGATTCCTGAAAAACAAGGAACGATGTCAGAAAGGGATAGGGAGTGCACCTGGCTTATCCCCTCTAACGCTTAAGTCAGTTGATGCTCAAGATTGAGAGGATAAGTGTAAAATGCAATTCCAGTTCAACATGCAAACATGTGTTTTGTTTCATTCGAGTGTTTATACCTTTGAGTATGATGACATGGCAACAACTTCAGTACCAAATCTAGGCCTGGCAGCCTACTGTCATCAACCCACGTAATAAGTGCTCCCCTGTCAAGCCTCATTAATGCTTAAAGATGGGACAGTTGGGGTTAGATCCTTGGACCAGGCTAAGCATTCATAGCCTCAAGCCCCATAGACACCAACCCATCACGAACATCAAGTGCACTATTTCAAAGTACTCATGACCTAGCGCCGAGTATTCTAGGTGATGTGCTGAGTATTTAATTTTATACCCCCAAGGGCTATTCAATTTGGGAACAGTTACCAAAGAGACAGGAAAAACTAATGAAAATTCAAAAAAAGGTGACAAACGTGTGTGTAATAGCCCCCAAAATAGAGGTGTGCTTGAGAAGCCTACAACGGAAGGTTTGCCAGTCATAAGTTAACACATGGATGGTTGTAGTTAGCGAATTACATCTCCTAAATTTCCAAGGGACAAGACCAAGCAACGAACATCTTAGATTAAGCAAGTATGACCTACAAGGAGAGGAACATGTGCACAACCCTTCTCGAGAACGGTCGAAGTCGGGGTGTGGGACTTCATGTAGTGTGTTGATGTGACATGTGATCATTATCATCTTGCAATAGGAGACTCATAGTTAGCCGCCAGAAACAGAAGGCACAACCCTTATTAGAATCACATTTAAATTTATCAAAAAATCATTCAATATCAATCAATTTCAGTAAGATTTCATCAAATTAACCTAATTCTAAAATCCTCAAAAACCAATAAATTAACAACAAAGCACACACATGGTGCTGTGGGCATGGGGGTCAGGGGGATGGGCGTGAGTGTGTTTGGGTCGTGGCTGGTGGTTCGATTTAGTGTGAAGAAAGAGAGGTAGGCAGAGAAATAGAGAAGAAAATTCAAAAAAAAAATCTTAACAACCGAGATTCTGTGAGTTACAAGCACACACAGAGAGAGAGACTGAGTGTCTTGGCTGAGTTCAAGGCTTTGAGTGGTTGAGAGATAGATCAATTTGAGTTAGGGCTAAAATGGGAGGCAATTTGAAATCCTTCATTGATTTAGGGATAAAATTGGGGCAAATTTAAATCCATCGATCTAAAACGGAGAGAGACACAAAAAGGCAGAGAGAGAGAGATGAGAAGACTTACATCGATTGTTCATTGCTGAGATTGATTGCTTTGCTGAGTTCCAG